TGAAGAGGATTTCCTAGGCCCATGCCGGACTATTCCAAGTGTCAACGATTCTACACAGCCGTCAGGGAAACGAGCCGAGATAGAAGACACTACAGTTTGTGGGCTGGAGCCTGAACCCTCTTGTGCGTACAGTGTTCGATTGGTTAATCAAGATCAACCAAACCAGACTGCTGCTACTCGATTTGATGTGAAGAAATTGGCTATCCCGAATACCCCTGCACCCCCACCGAAGAAGAAAGCGCCAGCGAAATTTGAAGTGATACCTACGAACACTCCGAGAGCCGAGTCCGATGAGAATCGACCCAATCGTCCAGCAAGAAGACGAGGGAAAAGACGAACTATGAAGATCCAGATACCCGGGACGAACGAGATCAAGAGGATCAATATTCGAAAGTTGGGACTTGTCCCCCACCAGCGTGGAAGTGAGCCATTTGAGAAAGCTCAGTTTTGTTTTGATGTTAAGAAGTTTCATTTCTTTACTCCGTAGAAGATTGCAAATATTTTTAGATCCCAGGAGTAGGATCTACAAATCGAAGGACATTGACGTTATTTGTGTTTTAGTTTGGAAGAATTTGAATTTTGGTTTAGAAGAAGTTGAGAATGTTTTTTTTCTTTTCTGTTTCTTTTTTTTGTTTACGCGAAGTGAGTGGAGGATGTAAGGGTTGATTTTTTACACCTCACCTTTTTTTATCATATCATGGCTGAGATCGGGAGACAAAAGGTTTTTAACTGAGGATCAGTCAGGTAGTACAAACGACCAAGGATTTTGAGGTTAAGCATGGTGAGGCGAGGCTCAAGTTGTTAGCGCGAGCACCGATGTAGCCGCCACCGAGGCCGAGTCAGACTGCCAAAACTGGTTTCTGCGCATGACCGGCCCAGACGTGCAACAAAACCACTGGGACCGGGCGCCGCCGGACAGTCTGTGCCATTTTGTGACCCGATCAACACGTCTCTCTCTAAGGTATAGTGCCTACTTGACATCATTTTATGATTCAGGGAAATTGGATTGTTTTACGTTTGGATATTTACGATCGATGTTGGATAGTTGATTTACGATAATTTGTTCCCGATGAACGAAGTTTTCGATTTTGATCAGTGATCAATTGGTATTTTTTGCAATTTAATTTAGATTTTAAATTGTGAAATAATTAGTTTGAAGTTAAAGAAATTTTGCCGACTAGCTATATAAAATCCAAACGAGTTAGCATACACTAGGCTATTGAGGAAAGCAAAAGTTGAGCAAGGCCAATTGAGTATTCTAAAGGATTTTTACCTACACATCTTATATTACATAACCTCTGTGTCACCTTCCAATATCCCTCCTTTTGCTGAAGCATAAGCAGCATCCTTTGGGCAGAACACGCTACTCAATTACCTAAACCCTCTTGTATCGCAGTTAAGGAGTGATTTAATAGGTTAAGCCTTAGCCTAGTTGTTATTGAAGAACTATATAATTTGAGGGTGACAATAGCCTAAGCTTGTGTAATATAACGTCATATAAACTCAATGTTGCCTTCCAAACACCTCTCCTTTTGCTGAAGTATAAGCAGCATCCTTTGGGCAGTGTACGCCATTCTATAGCCTACTACCCTATCTTGTATGCTTAACGAATTTCTTGTACTTAATTCAACGTAGAGAGAATTACGAGACACAATTAATTAGCTATAAGGTGTTTACGATTTAATAACGACATAACCTATTTGCCACGCACAACACAACAGTGTTTTGCTCGACGTTTTGTTATTATTTTGCGTCTGATCCGAACTATCGATCGTATTGATATCGATAGCTATCGAAGTTAACACCGAATCTACTACCGGAATAATAGTTTATAGTTAGCCGTCGATTATAGTTGTTAGTGATTGGATCCTCAACATTGACTAGCGATATAGCATTTGATTTTGCTCAGTTTTGCTTTTGTATTCACTACACATCTGAATAGCTGTTTGATAAATAGCTAAGGGTAGCTGTTTTAGTGCTCACATAGCTAGCGTTAGCCTGTTGATTATTTGGGATCTTTAAAGGATAGTGGGGGGTCTTAGTTATCCAAATTAACCTACCGTGACCTATCCTAGATTGCTGAAGTATATTCAGCATCCTAGTTAGCTGTACAGGCTATCTACCCTTAACCTTTTTGTTGTTTAGAGCGCATTTGCGTGGGTTTAGGGTAGCGAACGAGGTGCATACGGGCGTTTAGGTAACGATTAACCTACCGTAACCTATCCTAGATTGCTGAAGTATATTCAGCATCCTAGTTAGCTGTACAGGCTATCTACCCTTAACCTTTTTGTTGTTTAGATCGCATTTGCGTGGGTTTAGGGTAGCGAACGAGGTGCATACGGGTGTTTAGGTAACGATTAACCTACCGTATCCTATCCTAGATTGCTTGAAGAATATTCAGCATCCTAGTTAGCTGTACAGGCTATCTACCCTTAACCTCTTTGTTGTTTAGAGCGTATTTGCGTGGGTTTAGGGTAGCGACCGAGATTTATACGGGCGTTTAGGTAACGATTAACCTACCGTAACCTATCCTAGATTGCTGAAGTATATTCAGCATCCTAGTTAGCTGTACAGGCTATCTACCCTTAACCTTTTGTTGTTTAGAGCGCATTTGCGTGGGTTTAGGGTAGCGAATGAGGTTCATACGGGCGTTTAGGTAACGATTAACCTACCGTAACCTATCCTAGATTGCTGAAGTATATTCAGCATCCTAGTTAGCTGTACAGGCTATCTACCCTTAACCTCTTTGTTGTTTAGAGCGCATTTGCGTGGGTTTAGGGTAGCGAATGAGGTTCACACGGGGGTTTAGGTAACGATTAACCTACCGTAACCTATCCTAGATTGCTTGAAGAATATTCAGCATCCTAGTTAGCTGTGCAGGCTATCCACCCTTAACCTTTTTGTTGTTTAGAGCGCATTTGCGTGGGGTTAGGGTAGCGAACGAGGTGCATACGGGTGTTTAGGTAACGATTAACCTACCGTAACCTATCCTAGATTGCTGAAGAATATTCAGCATCCTAGCTAGCTGTGCAGGCTATCTATCCTTAACCTCTTTGTTGTTTAGAGCGTATTTGCGTGGGGTTAGGGTAGCGAACGAGGTGCATACGGGTGTTTAGGTAACGATTAACCTATCGTAACCTATCCTAGATTGCTTGAAGAATATTCAGCATCCTAGTTAGCTGTGCAGGCTATCTACCCTTAACCTTTTTGTTGTTTAGAGCGCATTTGCGTGGGGTTAGGGTAGCGAACGAGGTGCATACGGGTGTTTAGGTAACGATTAACCTACCGTAACCTATCCTAGATTGCTTGAAGAATATTCAGCATCCTAGTTAGCCGTGCAGGCTATCTACCTTTAACCTTTTTGTTGTTTAGAGCGCATTTACGTGGGGTTTAGGGTAGCGACCGAGGTTCATACGGGCGTTAAGGTAACGATTAACCTACCGTAACCTATCCTAGATTGCTGAAGTATATTCAGCATCCTAGTTAGCTGTGCAGGCTATCTATCCTTAACCTCTTGGTTGTATAGAGCGCATTTGCGTAGGGTTAGGGTAACGATCGGAGCGTAGCAAGGTTTAGTTTGATCCTATAACCTTTGATACCGATCCTAGTTTGCTCGAAGAACATTCAGCATCCTAACTAGCTGTACAAGCTATCGAACCTAATTCTTGAAATAGATTCTAACGCGAGAATTGAATTAACAGATAACACGACACATAGATTATACACGACAACGTTTTCTCTCGCGTCAGATAGGGTAACGATGATGAGTGAATAGCGACAACTGGTTCGCACATTTCACTGAGTTACCCTATCATTTTCAATAAAGGGATTTGATTAAACGCAGACGATCGACACTTTAGATTATTCGAAACGAATTTAATATTGAGTGGAATTTCACATCAACAATATTTTGTTGGTTCACATCGACCCCTGGAAATTTAAACCCAGCATCGCTGAACTATTTTGGCAATAGGATAACGAAATCAACACACACACAGAAATTCCCTCACAGTAACATTAATTAAATTTAGTGTCCAATACACAAAATTTAATGATTTTCCAAGTTTATGTTGGCAAGGGTGCCAAACTGTTCCTAATTATCTATAATTTATGCTGAAATTAAACATTATAAACAATCAGTAGAAAATGAGGACATGTCTGTAGACTGTCTTCAATTACGCCAAATTACTGGATCAAGTTAACTGAAACTTATCCCAATGTAATCTACCCCTCAACGGGTGATATGCGCCGTTGTATTTCCGTTTACATACCGATCTAATACTTTACCTTATTTGCTTTTTGAGTCATCATGTTATCATGTAAAATGAAATAACGTTCAACTATATGGATAAATTAAGAAGTACGCGATGATTACATACAATTTCCTTATACATTTCTCTAATATTTTATAAGTTTTTACTTTCATACAGCGAATTGAAAACGATAGATGATTTTGTACTCTATGAAATGTAGTTGACACTTTTATTTATTCCATAAAACACCATCGAGTACAGTAATCACTGTTACGGTACGTAATGCTATAATGCTCTTTAAATTTGGTACTATATTTTTTTCTCATAGAAAATTATTATTAACCTTTGACTGATAAACGCCGTAGTCCTTCAGATTTTGTAATCCTGTCTCATTGCAAAGCTCCGGTAAGCACGGATTTACCAGCTTCAGCTTTGTAGTTCGTTAAAAATAACAATGCGATGTCTTTGTTAAAATTGTAGGCTACCATAAGACGTTGTATCAAACAAAACATATATTTAGGCCTACTTATTAATCAGGACCACGACGTGTATGTAGTTTCTTTGAAAATATTGCTTAACCCTAAATTATCCTTCAATACAAAGTCCGTTTCAGTCAATGTCCGGTTTAGGAAAGTTTGACAATCAAAACATAAATAATCTTGTGACTGCACTGGCGGTGTCGTGACATCAAACAGATAAAAACAATTTACAACTTTACATTTATGACTCATTCAGTTGGTAGCGCTGTTAGAGTGAGTTGTGTTAAGAAAACTGTGCGAAATGAGGAGAAATCCGCCAACAACTTTAGGGGAAGTTTTTGAAAAGAAGTACAAACCTGTGCTTGACTTACTGGCGAAAAATCCCCTATTCAAACAACCCGACGGGAAGCAGAAAGAACGAGCGAAAGAGAGTGTCGCAAAAGCTGAAGTTAAGACGGAAGTTAAGACGGATAGGAAACCATATGTGAAAGGTACGTGTACAATTTGGGTAGATTTTGGATTTTTGTTTTCTCGTGGGGTAAATTTGTGAACCATTATAGTTTGTTTGTACCAAACACTGTACACACTTGATTTTCAATGTGACTAGCATGGATTTAATATAAATTAAATTTATAGTTTCAGTGCGTGGAAAAGGGGTTTCAACGTTGAAAATTTGTAAAATCTAACATTATTATGAGTGTTATTACAAAAATCTAACAAATAATATTAATCAAATAAACGCTCGTTTGAATCTAAGTTAGGATACTCGTTGTAAAATATTTCAAGAAGGCGTAGAATGCCACGTTCAAAAATCTAAATTTGATACATACATTGACTATAGTTACTCATATTTCATTGGAGCTCATTTTAAAACTCCCTCTTAACTTCCCCTCTTTATTTGGTTTCAGAAATAAATAAACACAAAATGCTTCAAGCTTGTTTTTATTACATTTACAAATGCAGTTACGCTAATAATTAAATATAGCTGTTTGATTTAGACGTTGATAATAAACGAAGGTTGATTGAATGAGATGTTAAATACACAGGTAATCACAATTAAAAAGCCAGTTAATTCTAATTGATCATTGTATTGGGGTCTTAAATCCATCATCACCATCTGAACATTGTACGAATAAGGTGAAAGAACGTTGAATACAATTTGTTTTGCATAGTTTTAAATGAATTTCCAAACAATCAAGAATATAATTCATTATCACGATTTGTTCATAGGTTCTTTCGATTTAATAGTTCATTCCTTATATGTAAGAATTATAATTCCTGTAAAATAGTTGATCACATAAATTGAGAGGACAAACCATTGAAATTTGATATTTTCAGATTGTACACAAAAGGCCCAATCTACATTGGTATTACGTGTAACGCGATTACCTAGTTAAACAACTCTAGTTTCGCATTGCTTCAATGTAAATAAGTTAAGTGTAGAGCGTTTTGGAGCTTTAATCCCATATTTCAAAATAATCTGTGACAAAAATAGTGAACGCAATTCGCACTGAAAATAGAATGTTGTTGGTAACTTATCCTTTTTGGTACGATTGGCTACCCTAATTTTGATTTACACCCCCCCCCCTTGCTTCTGTCTCATAGAAATGTTGGTTGCAACATTAAAATTGTTTCCTATTGCATCGGCAAACTCACATTTTCATCTCGGTTTGCGAGAATACAGAGAAAGAGACGGAAGGAAGGGTGTAACAGTGGTATTGATTGGGCACCGCCTTGTCTAGTGACCTTATCGCTTATCTACGTGACCCCTGTTATCTATTATCAGTGAATCATAGGGCAACATTGACTGGTCATGTCGGAAGTATAACTGCAGTTGGGGTAGGGTTTGGGCTTGTATTACATATTAAACATATTTCCTTATTGATTTATCATCCGGTAGTTCGGCAGAATTATTTTCTCCGACAGGTAGAGGACTTTGTTGTTTATTATTTTGTTACTTGTTTTTAACCGATTTTAAAATACATTTTATTTTATTTGTTAACCATTTTGTAAACTGTCGCTTGTAATCTCTGGTATTATGGTAGATAAAAGAGTAAAGCGAAGATTTTTAAATTCCTTCATAAAATGAGAGGGAAACAATTAACCTACGTTAGCGCACTAAAAAATAACCAACATGAAACAGGCTTTAGTATTTATCGTCAAATTTGAAGCCTGTTTTGAATGTATCATGTACGGTTACGTTCACGTTAGCTGGATATCGATTAAATGTTACCCTTCCGTTTTTACGCTTCGCCAATAACCATTAGACAGACAACAGTTTGCAAGTGATTGTTCGATTTTGGTCATGCTGGTGAAATTACGAGAAATAAATACAAAACAATTCTAGCGGTAAAAAATAGGCCTATTAGCTAGATCAATCTATATTATTTTCACGGCTTTCTCCGCGGTATTGTGTTGTTCTTCGGATTTGTTAGACCCTTCTCGATTTTGATAAATTACCTACAGGCTGATAAATAACCAATTAAATGGTACAGAATATCGAAGGTATTGATGCCACATAGTCAAACAAATGAAAGTTGGTTTGACATTTTTTGTACAACCAAACCCGGGTCTAAAATAATTTGTAGACTCCTAAAAATTTTCATTACACCTAATAAATTAACTATTCTCATCTACAATTATCTTCTCCAGGGATTGACTCGTGTTGTTCGCCTTATATAAACCGTTGAGTTGAGTCGAGAGCCGATACTCTGAAATCCCACAGTCGCGGACTGCGGTCACAAGGGAGTGCTAACCATGGCGGTTGTATCGGCTTACGGCGTATCGGATGGGATGATCCGTATGACCTTGAAGAGTGAAGACGCGGTGTCGTGGCGTTGCATGGCACGTGATGGTGGGGAAACGTAGGTCACGGTGTGTTGGCACCAGACACCACAAGGTCCACAAGATGGCGGACGGAGGACGGTAGCCGGTGAAGTAAACCGGAATCCCATCTATAGTTGGAGTCGTAGAGTCAGTGTCATTACGCCCAAAGGTCACATGATCTTTCAGAAGGTGACGTTGTCTGGGATGGGTTATGACGAATAGTTCAATTGTGAAGTACATAACTTGGTGGAAATGGAGTGCACGAAATCCATGGGCAGATGGGTTGATTAATTTATCCTAACTTTTTTTTTAAATAGAACCATATTGACTATTGGAGATCTAAACGAAATGACTCTTTTCGAATTTCGACCAGAGCTCCCAGAAAATGTGCAAGAAGCTATTTAGGCATATTATTTAAAAGACACTCAATTGCCTGTGTGATGTACTATTTTCGTCATATTACAACAATTATTTAAGAAAAATTAGAGGACCCATGCTGCTTTGCGGCAAAAAGAAATATCCGAGAAATAATCAAATTTATGATTTTTGATTGAGTAATACAGTATCTTCAACCGAACTGATTCAAACGACCAACAGCTCAAATTATAGCATATAATTTCCTGATTGATGCTATTGATTTTTAATCGTAGAAAAAACCTTATGAAAAACAATTTTTATGTTGGTCGTTCACCTTGCGTTTACTTGAAACTCGTCTGATTTTAATAAATAATAGCTTAATGAAAGCCGTAATTTCACTGAAGGTTCTTAGACCAAAATATATAGGATTAAATAATAATAACTAGTGAAATACATCTTAAATTTAAGTAAGAATTTGAATATGGTTCAAATTATGTTTTTTGGTCAAGTAGGTAAAATATATGCCTATATGTTTGATGTGAAATCTGTGCATGCATATATACCTTCAATTTGACACCTCAATCATAAAACTCGGTAGGGTAGAAGAGCGAAACGAACTCGGAAAAGAAAAACCAAATTTCATTCCCATAAGAAATACACGGGGGAAAAAATTTTGTTTATGTATAATCCGAGTGGGATAATAGATAAATAAACGCCGATGCTTGATGCCAAATCTTTGCCTGTATGCCTTCAATTTGAGACCTACATCACGTAAATCGGTCGGGTAGAAGAGTCAAAGAAACTTAAAAAGAGAAACCAAATTTAACTCCCATAATAAATACATGTAGAGCAAACTTCGTTTACGTATAAACCGAGTGAGACTATAGAGAATTATATGCCGATGATTGATGGTAAATCTGTGTGTGCATACCTTCAATTTGAGACCTCAATCATGAAAATCGGTCGGGTAGAAGAGCCAAACGAACTTGGAAAAGAAAACTTAAATTTGTTTAATACATAAGTTGATCTTGCTCATTGTTATGTCCTGTGAAGGTCTTGGTTGGATTGGAATTGGGATTATTTGAATGGTGATCGTTTGGATTGGTTTTGTATAGTGTGATTTTTAGCGAATTTCCCTATAGGGAAGAAGCTATTACCGTAGGTGGCACAATAAGACCTAGGCCCGGGACTGTTAGTAAACCATAATGAAAGTCGATGACAATTTTAAAACTAAATTAGGCTAATAATACCAAACTACTTCAGTACTGGCACCCTCATTCAAGTACTTCAAATATTGTTCATGTTCAGTCTTTTTTTTTCCAACAATATGGCAAGAAAACAAACTTCTATTTATTTAAGTAATTATTTGTTTATTTTTTTATCTTGTCTGTGAAGTGGTGAGCGACGGAGAAGACTCTCCCCACACGCAGATGTACAGTCTTTGTGGGGATTTTTTTCCTTTGTACTTTGCTTTACAGCCAGGATTGTAATTTTTGTAATTTGTAATTTTGGAAATAAATATATTCTTCTTCTTCTTCTTCTTCTTATGGATATATTTTGATAAAAATTGGCAAATTTATTTATTTTGCACTAAGCTTTTGTAATTTAATAAAAACCCCACAATAGTTTTCTTGTAGCAGCAAACCTAGGTACTCGTTAAACCTAATGTTATATAGATTTAATTGAAAATCAATTTAGACAAATGGAAATTCGCTTAGTCGGCGGCAGGTTAGCTGCGGCAGGGGTATTAAAGTGTGTATTTGTAAAAGTGCAAGTGATGACTAACAACATTCAGATACAGCCACAGCAGACATGTGGACTAGAAAGTAAGCCTTGAATGGAATGTGCGGACATTTTGTGTGGGTTGAACTTCTTAGTCTTGCCGCCTACAAAATGACTCATTCATTGACATGAACATTTGTGAACTTCCGCCAGCTTTCCTTTGACTAGAGATAAGTAGTGCGGATAGATGCAATTGCTTGTAGAACTTATAATTTAGAAAGTATTAGACATAATAATTTCAAAGTATGTCATCCTTATTTGCATCTAAAAACTCTAAAAATTGTTTGCCTAGGTAAGACAATCTCTTGAAGGTTTGAAGCTGTAGGGGCTAAGTTCGAGTGATTGCCAATTTAAATATTTGCTGATATTTTAATTATTATACATATATATGATCCATATCTGTTTCAGTTTCAGTTATCCCCCTAGTTTAGGTGTCAACTTGCCTTTATATCTTCTTATAGCCCTTCACAGTTCATCCTCTACTATTTGATTTCTCAATTCTCTCTCCTCCACATCCCCCTTCGCC